AGAGAGAGAGAAGTCCAAGAGATGACTCTCGTGAGTGAGGGAAGAAGCACCAGCGATCAATTTAATTATTTCTGAGAACTGCTAATGAGGTACAGTGCACTGCTATCGAGAGAGAGTGGCCTGCTAATGAGACAGAGTGCGCCGCAGGTGGGGGAGAGTGCGCTGCTAGTTAGAGAGAGTGTGCATGCGCACTTGTGAGAGAAGAGATGAGTGGGATAGAAAGAAGACCCAAGGTGGCTAGAATCGAGTTCTCTGCCTGTGCGGCGTCAGAATAGGCGCGCCTGACCAGAAACAAGCTCGCCACCATTGACAGATTAGACCTGAGGATCATCGGTGGGCCAGTCCATCTTCATATGAACATAAAGAGAGGAGGGCAAATCACACATGCACGATTTCAAAAGACATCGAAAGATTGGAAAGGGATCTGAATGAAAATTTTGGAACAGGTTCATCCCACATATTCATTCCACTAAGGCCACAAGACTGTGCATGTGTGTGCACAAGAAAGAGAGAGAAAGAGGCTGGTTATTAGAGGACAACCTTCCCTCCAGCTCTTCCCTCAAATAGAGCATAGGGATCATTGGAACCGAGTCAGCCTTGATGACAGTGTGATCTTTCTCGAGGAAAAACAAATGGATCAACCAGTAAACTCGATCAGGGGTATTCTCGGGACTGGGGGACGTGAGACAGTACGATCTGGCGCAGACGAACCCTGGTGAAATGGACAAAGCAGACTCATCATCCTCACAATGCCGCTAGCCAAGAAAGACATGAGAATGCAGTAGCGCCTTTTATTGATCAGTCAGACCAGGGCTTTGGTACTACTATCGAGTTATTGGCAACTAACAGTGAAGAGTGGTTCAAGTAGAGCCCATGTACATACACCTTAATAAAGTTGGCAATTGCAGGGTGCAGTTTGAGAATATAACGCCCAAATACGATAATTCGAGGAATCTCGTGACTTGGTCTGCGCCTGATTGGCCAATCACAGAGCACTGGGCCTACCACATGAGCGGTCTTTTTTTTTTTTTTTTTTTTTTAACTCAGTCGATTTTCCATTTCCTCCAAAATGTTTGTGATTACAAATTTAATTAATAATCCTCCAGTTGCTTAAAGTGCTGGTGTCAGCGAGGGGAAAGGGGCTCAGAGCGATGGCTGAGGAAATTGTTCCTGTGAAAGTGGCTGATCAACCTGATTGTTTTCTCTGATCTCGCACTTGAGCAGCCCTAAGTGAAGGCTGAACCCGCACCAGTTCGGCGGGTACCTCTCATTCAGTATTGTAACTATTTTAATTATTTTTAGTAATCCTTCAGGGCTCACAGCCAACGTGAATGGTAAACCCTTTTCAGATTCACAGTTTTGTGGTTCTAACCCCGTTGTGTCAGTTACGAAAATGCCCCTGAAGTGATATGAAACTGAAAGCTTACTTCGTCCAAGGAAAAGTTTGTAAATATCCTGTGAATTCGAGATCCTCCGCGAGAGACTCTTCGAGCGAATCTCTAGTAGATCTCAGATCTGTAGGCAGGCTTCATTTATTTTATTTTCTCTTAGCTTCTAACGAATTCCGTATGTGATAAGGAGGCATTCAGTTCAGTCTTGAGTGTCGTGCGTGTCAGGCAAACCAAAACCGACTCCCCTGTCACGCTGCTGAGGACCTCCGAAGCGGGCACGGCCGGTGACAGACGCCGCTGCCTCTGGCTTCGGCGACGGACGGGGCACCCTCCCCGGGTTTCCTCACACCGTACCTCGCCCCATACCCAAAAAGTTTCTTAGCAGTTTGCGTTGTACCTGTCTCTTATACACATCTAGATGTGTATAAGAGACAGGTGTGTGTGTGTGTGTGTGTGTGTGTGTGTGTGTGTGTGTGTGTGTGTAATTACAGCCAACTCTAGGATGTATCTGACCGCAATTATGTCCAAAGCTGGTGAAAACGACACCGTCCGAGTATGTCCTTGCTCTCGCTGCCTCAGAGCAACCCAAGTTGTAGAGGTCTCTCAGCATAGCTCCACCATGCGCCAAATGTGAAAAAGACAAAAGAAATGGGCGTGTGCCTTTCCACTTTCTAGCTGAAGGTGAAGGTGGAAAGATAAACTTGGCACCATGATTTATTTTGTTTGGATTTTTACCAAATATCGCCCCATGGTTTTGAGGGATGGGAGAGGCAGGAAGGGCTGGAGAGGGCGAGAGGATAAAGAAACATTGGCAGGAGTAGATGACAGAGGTGCAGGCGAGGAGGAGGCGAGGTTGGAGGGAGGGCGGGGAAGCAAAGAAGGTGAAAGAGAGGAGATCGGGTGGAGAGAGAGGGACGGAGACGGGATGCCAGACAGAGAGAGGGAGTAGGAAGGAGGGTTGGAGGGAAGAGGTTGGGCAGAGAAAGGGCGGAAGTTGGGAGGAGTTCAGGCGGATAGGAGAGGGAGGAAGGACGGAAGGAGGGGGGCAGGTGTAAGCCGGGAGGAGGGGGAGATGTGGGAGGGAGGACGGGCTTCCACGGCAGGTAGAAGTCGGGAAGAGGTTGAGAGGTGGGCCGGAGTTGGGCAGAGGTGCAGGTCGGGTGGCAGCAGGGGGCGGTAGTCAGGAGGAGCTCGGGTGGAAGAATGGACGGAGGAAGAAGGTTGGGCACGTGAGGTTGGAAGGAGGAGGAGCGATGAAGGAGGTGAGGCATGATGGACGGAGGAAGGAAGGAGGGAGGAATGAGATCGTGCATGTCGGGACAGGGAGAAAGGAGGCACACAGGAGGACGGGTCAAGCCGACATGCAGAAGTCGGGAGGACGGGCAGTTGCTCCACTAAACCAACAAAAAATACTCACCAAGCTCTGAGCAGATGGGCGGCTGCACCACTAACAACAACATACTACTATGCAAGGTCTGGGTAACAGCAAACAGGTGGCACCGCTAAACAACATTTGAAATGTATCTGTCCCGTTCATGATCCAAAATTCCAAAATTCCAAATACATTCAAGGAATTTTCGGACTGACAAATCATATTGGATGTATCCAGAGATTCAGGACCAATCGCACCACCAGATACATTTGGAATGTTGTGTAACGGAGTGAGGCCCCTGTTTAGTGTTCTTCCCAGATTTGAACAGCGCCGCCGACCAGCCTATTTACTACTCCTGCAGACAGAGAACAGGAGCTGTGACGTGCCATGAGTCGGTGACAATTTGACTTTAACCCCAGTTTGCACGCGGTTAAACCGTTATAAAGGGATGCTCAGTGCTCACTCTCCGATTTACAAGTGGTTTACTCAGCTTTACTGCCTCCAGGAAAAGCTAAAGAAGTTGAAAAAGTACTGTGACTGCATTCATAATGCTGTGCAGGGCTGGATTGCACAGATAACTATGTTAGAGAGTTAAGCCCAGTTTAAAAATTAAAAAAAAAAAAAAAA